CCGGCCCCGGGCTTGCGCGGGGAATATGCAACTAGTAGTATAAATAATTGAGTAATAACTAGATCTAACCATAGTTCTAGACTACTGTATTGTATAGTATTAATTAGGGATCACCACAGTTAGAGATAGTACGATAGTCTAACTAATGCAAATAAAAAATACCAGTGTAGATGATGATCATGTCTTTGTTTATTATTATAACTCGGTCGTGAGTAAACGCATTTGGTAATAATAAGAAACTAAAACTTATTGAAGTTGACCTTATGATCAGTTGAATTTGTCCGGAGTTGCATCTTGCAACCAGAAAAAAAAAACTTTCTAATGGCTGCTTCTTCCTCTTCACAGGGACTCCCTGACCCTGAGTCATGGCAAGTGTTCATCAACTTCCGTGGGGTAGAACTACGCGACAACTTCGTCAGCCATCTCGAGGTAGCTTTAACACAGGCGGGAATCAACTACTACATTGACAGGAAAGAGACGCGGAGCGAAGACCTCAAAGTCCTTTTCAAGAGGATCCAGCAATCACAAATCGCCTTGCCCATCATCTCGAGCATGTACGCCGAGTCAAACTGGTGTTTGGACGAACTTGTTGAGATCATGGAACAAGTGGAGAATGGAAACCTCAAAATCATCCCTATCTTCTTCAACGTGACCCCAGAGGAGGTTAAAGATAAGGGAGGACGATTCCGCTTTATGGTGTTTAGAGAAAATGAAAAGAATGGAAAAAGTATAGCTGATTTGCAGAAATGGTATAACGCTTTGAGTTCTGTTCCAAGCAAGATGGGATTGAGTCTGAAGGGATCTAATCGGTAACAACAAGCTATAACCTCTTCTTTTCTCTCTCTCTCTTTGCTTTTCTTCAAGAAAGTAAGATTTTCTAGATTATTCAAGTTTATTAAGAATATATAATAAATGTATAACAAATTAATTTAAATTTTACTTTTCTATACATTTTCAATAACTACTCACCAATAAAATTTAATCAATTCAAATGTTATTAATTAATGTTTCTTAAAAGTATACAAAGTACCTTAAGAATATAGAAAATCTATCTTTCTGAAATAATAAAAAAATCTAGAAAACCTTACTTTCTGGAATCTCTATAATATTATTTGAGAAGTCAGTTTCCTACGTGTCGCGCTCATGTTAACTCTCGCAATGGTTGATTACATAGATACCCTTAATGTTTTGTTAGATTTTAAGATTTTTTTTTTGTTTAGTTTTTTAACCTTTTTCCAAATAACATATACAATAAAAAGTAATATTTCTAAAATTTTTAAACAAATTTTGAAAACGAAAAAATATATATATATATAATATGACTTTATAAAAACGGAAAGTTCACAAAATAATAATACCCCATTAATATATATTTAAAAATAACATAAAATAAATATATTTTCAAAATAATAAAAATATATATGTTCAAGAACATCCAAAAACTTATCAATTGCACTTTATTTTCTAATATTTTTTAGAAATCAACATATAATTTGATAAATATTATAAAATACATGTATATTTAAGCGATAACTAAAACTAATTTGATTTGACTTAACTAAAATAAATAGTAAATAAATATAATGAAAATACATGTATATTTAAGCGATAAATAAAACTAATTTGATTTGACTTAACTAAAATAAAAATTAATTATTCTTCAATTTTAATTTAAAAATATATTATATTCAATATACTCACAAAATGAATGACTCGACTAATCTACTTTATATTCAAAATTAATCAACTAACTACAATAAGAACATATAATTTTATAATAATCATAATAATATTAATAATCTATTTAGTTTTATACATATAAATTAGAGGTTGATCCACAGCATATTAAAAAGAAAAAGAAAATATTAACCAATTACAATTTAATTCTTTTTGAATTTATATATATGCATGCGACTTCAATATATAATCATTATATTCATTTATGTAATTTTGAATGAAACACTTCAGCTTATTATTTATTTCATTTTAAGCACAATATATATATATATATTAAGTTATACATAATTTAACTATAATATATTTACATATCTAAGAATATATTTACATATATAAAGACAATAACCATCTGAAATGAAAATGAGAAAATTAATCAAAGTTTATTATATTTAGAATAAAAAATATTATAGCTGAATTCGAAAAATAAATATTGTCTAATATAATAGATTGATAACCAAACCGACTATTGATAAAAAAATAATTAAACCGGCAATAATATATCCAAAATCATATGTATAATTAGAATAATATAATATTTATTAATATAAATTATACATATAAATTGATTAAAAACTAAAACTAAATACCAATCAATTATTTTTTTTTCATTTAAGCACAATATATATTAAGTTATACACATTTTGACTATCATATATTTACATATCTAAGAATATAGTTACATATCTAAAGACAATAACCAACCGAAATGAAAATAAAGAAATTAATCAAAGTTTTATTATATTTAGAATAAAAAATATTATAGCTGAATTCAAAAAATAGATATTATCCAATATATCAAATTAATAACCAAACCAACTATTGATCCGAAAAAAATTACACCAACAATAATATATCCAAAGTCATATGTATAATTAGAATAATATAATACTTATTAATATAAATTATACATATTAATTGATTCAAAAATAAAACTAAATATCAATCAATTATTATAAAATTTTACTTTTATGAATATTCATACCCGTGCATGAGCACGGGAAAATCACCTAGTAGAGGGAGTATTCAAGAATCTTATAGATCTTTTTACTCATTTGTATGTAGGAACGAGGGGCAGCTTATTGTAGAGATTGTTAATTCGGTCAAGAAAGTGCTAGCTCAACTAGAAGCCAAACCAAATGTGCTCCCTAACAATGTCTCACCAGTAACTTCTGGTGGCAATCCTTCCTGTCCAACGTCTCGAGAGAAGCCTTTCTTTGAAGATGAAATGAATCGACGCCTTAAACAGTTGAAAGAAAAGATAAGTTTTAAGAGCCTTGAAACTCAGATTGTTGGAATTGTTGGGATGCCTGGGATTGGTAAAACCAATCTCGCGGAAATGCAATTCCATAAGAAGAAAACCAGGTTCGTGTTTAAGAAGATTGTCTCGAGCATCCGTGAGAAGTCAGAACAACAAGAGCCTGATTGTCTGAAGAAAGAGCTTCTGAATGGTCAAGAATGTAATGATAGCGCTGATATGTTCAAAAGGAAAATCTTTGTTGTTCTGGATGACGTGAGCGACAAGAAACAAATCGATTTTCTAATGGAAAAGCTCAGCTTGGTTAAGAAGGGAAGCAAGATTGTCATTACAACTCGTGACAAATCATCAATTGCAGGACTGGCTCAGGAGACATATGTAGTCCCTGGTTTGAATGATAAAGATGCGTTGGAGCTCTTTGAATATCATGCCTTTAATGATCAAACCTCTAGCCCCGAAGGGAGTTTCCTCAAGCTATCCAAACAGTTTGTGGATTACGCTGGAGGCAATCCACTAGCCCTTGAGGCACTGGGAAAGGAGCTCTGTGGGCAAGATGAGGCTCACTGGGAAAAAAGACTACTAACGCTACCACATTGTTGCAACCGAAAGATCAAAACTGAGTTGAAAATCAGTTATGACAAACTCAGTGACCAAGAGAAAGATGCATTTCTGGACATAGCTTGTTTCTTCAGATCAGAGGAGGAAGATTATGTGAAATGCTTACTGGATCAGTATGACTCCGAGTCTGGAGAAGACGCTGTTGGAGAACTAGCTCAAAAGTTGTTGATCTCTATCTCTGCTGGCCGAATAGAGATGCATAATCTACTGTGTACATTTGGCAAGGAAATTGGTTCATCCGATGAAAATATGTCAGGCCAAAGAATGTGGGCTTATAAAACAATAACTGAAACACTATGCTTGAAAGAGCTCATCAGCCCTGACCAGACAAAACAGGTAAAGTAAATCTCAAGTCCCTCTTAGTAACATTTAGATTGGTCTAGTAGTTAAAACTCGTTTGTAACATCTAGAAAGCCAAAACCAAAAAATCATGTTTTCGAAAACCATAAAAATGTGTACCCAGAAATTATGTTTTTTTTGACAAAACCGCAAAACACTCTTTGTCGCCAAGACCATAAATCATGTTTTTCCACCGAAACCACAAAATCATGTTTTATGTTAGAATCCTAAAAATATGTTTTCTCTCCAAAACCTTAAATCATGTTTTCCCACCAAAGCCATAAAATAAGGTTTTCTAGCCAAAACCTTAAAATTGTGTTTTCCAGCAAAAAAAATAAATAAATACTTATTTTCTTTTCAAAACCGTAAACTCATGTTTTCTTACTTAAACCGCATTAAATTTTTCCACCAAAGCCACAAAGTCCTATTGCTCTCCAAAACCGCAAAGTCATGTTTTTGCCAAACCACAATCTTGGGGTTTCCTGTCAAAACACACAAATTTGATATTTTATGCCAAACTTTTAAATTGGATTTCCCGTTAAAATCAGAAATCAAGTTTTCTGCCAAAAATATAAAGTCACGGTTTCTTGCTAAAAATCGTAAAATCATGTTTTTTGCATGAACCGGAAAATCAGGACTTCCCTCTAAAAATTTTATTTCCCAGTAAACCACAAAATCATGTTTTTCCACCAAAACTATAGAAGCAAATTTTCCATTAAAACCGTAAAATCAGAATTCCCTCCAAAACTTTAAAATCAGATTACCAAAAATGTATCTAAATATAATAATTATTTTGTGACAAATATGATTTAGATATATTTATTCAATCTGTAAAAAGAAATATTTTACAATAATTAATTATTAATAATAGAAATTTTATACGTTTAATCTTTTTTACCAAAATTATTCAAATGCTATTATAAAATCGAAAAGGAACAGCTTATCATCTAGATTTTGTATTTAAAATGCTGCATCTAGATACTACAACAAAATAAAAAAATGAACATGGTCTAAGCAGGACTTTTGAAAGTTGTGAGGTTCAAATTTCATTAGGACTCTCCAAAAAAAGAGTTAAATTACATGGTGTCTGCCTCACCATAGAGGCTGTGTGCACGCCTAAGGGAAAAGAACCTCCTAATCATTAGAAAAACAACACTTGGATTCACTTTGCTAACTTTTTCTATTTGTATTTTGATTTGTCATCAGGGAAAGAAAAAGGTTAGAGGCATTTTCTTAGACACGTCCAAAGAAGAACAAGTGGGAACACACTCAACGTCAAAAAATGGAAAAGAAAATACGAAAATACCATTAGACATGGAAACTTTTACCGACAGGTTCAACCAGACGGATCTACGATACCTCAAGATCTATGACTCTCTTTGTCCTCAGAACTGTAAAGTGATTTTGCCAGACGGACTTGAGTTTCCATTTCAAGAGGTCCGTTATCTCCACTGGCAGAACTTTCCTTTGGAAGAACTTCCACCAGACTTCAACCCTCAAAATCTCATTGATCTCAGGCTGACTCATAGTAAAATGATTGAACGACTTTGGGAAGATGTTAAGGTCTGTCTTCGTGTTACATCCTTTTTTTTTCTTTTACTGAAAAACATCTTTTTATTGCTAACATATTTATTATGACTGGTGGTAACAATATTTCAGGAAGTGCCACGGTTGAAGTGGGTGGATCTTAGTTACTCGACTAAGTTGACTGACTTATCAGCTGTGTCAAACGCATCTCATCTTCGAAGGTTAAATCTTGAAGGCTGCGAGATTCTTAAGAAGTTGCCTGAAGATATGGTAAACATGAGGAGCCTTGTTTTTCTGAACCTCAGAGATTGTGTAATGCTCTCCTCTCTACCAGACAATCTGGTTTTGGTCTCTCTGAAAACTCTCATCCTCAGTGGCTGCTCAAGATTTACAAAGTTTGACCTTGTCTCCAAAAATCTTGAGTTTCTTCATTTAGACGGCACTGCGATCGAGAGTCTTCCCTCGACCATCCAAGACTTCAAGAAACTTGTGTTACTGAATCTTAAAAACTGCAAAAGGTTGGAGTCTCTTCCGGATTGTCTCGAAAAGCTTAAGGCTCTTGAAGAACTGATGCTCTCAGGCTGTTTCAAGCTCAAACGTCTTCCTGAAATCAAAGAGAAGATGGAAAAGCTTCAGATTTTATTGCTTGATGGGACCTCAATACAGTGTCGTGGTTTCAGTGACCAACTAGTTAACCAACAACCTCTCCAGATTAATAGCTTATCTATGTTGCGGCGTCTCTGCTTAAGCAGTAATGATATGATCTACAGCTTGCAATCTAGCATTAGTGAACTCTATCATCTAAAATGGATAGACCTGAGGTATTGCACCAACCTCACATCTCTTTTAACGCTTCCACCGAATCTTCAATACTTGAACGCACATTCCTGCACGTCGCTGAAGACAGTAGCGAGTCCTCTTGCTCTTCTTAATCCAACGGAGCAGCTCTCTTCTTCATTCATCTTCACTAACTGTGATAAGCTAGAGCACGTCGCAAAGAATGAGATCATATGCTACGCTCACAGTAAAAGTCAGCGCTTGTCAGATGCATTGCATCGTCACAACAAGGTATTGCAAAGTATTGTTTGAGAGCCGGATCTAGGCATAGCCCAGTGAAACATTGATTTTGAGCCCCAAAAGTTTTTAGAAGTTTTATACATAGAAAAAAGAAGCAAATGTTTTTTTTTATGAGAAAACATCCATTAAAACTCCGAACTTTCAAATTAAATTCAAAAAACCTCTGACTCATGTTTGAGTCTAAAAACATCAGTTTTCAAATATTGACCGTTTTATCTCATATATTTTGTTGACTTCCATTTAAGAAACCCTAATAATGAACTGTTAAACTCAATTATAAAACTGATGTATGTTAACTTTCTAAATGATGTTAATTTAAAAAATACTCAAACAACAGTGTTTTGCTTCTTTAAGCACTAAAGTCATCTATTTCGTGAAACTAGGTCGCAAATCGACTTAATCTTTAATTCTCACTAACAATGAGGAAGATAAAGTCGATTTAGAGTTCTGGTTTCACAAAAAAGATGATTTAAGTGTTTACAAAAGAAAAACGATGTTGTTTGATTAATGTTTAGTCAGTTTTACAAACGCCGTTTAGAGTGTTAATAGAAGTCTGTTTTTTATCGCATTTGACAGTTGACTATTCGGGTATATATCTTAAATGACCGAGTCAACAAAATATAAAAATTAAAGTGGCCAATATTTTAAAGTTGAAGATATTTTTGGCTTAAACATGAGTTCGGGTTTTTTTTGCTTTAGTTTGAAAATTCATGATTAATTTAATAATTGTTTTCTCAATTTTTTATATAAAAGTTTTTAATAAATGTTTATTCTAAAATCTCAGAGCCAGGTCAAAGACAGTGTGTCAAGAAAGAAGCGAATATTGATTATCTTTAGTTACTGTGTGCAGGGTGTTGCTTTTGAAAATTTGGTTGCCACTTGCTTTCCTGGAAGTGAAGTTCCTGTGTGGTTCAATTACAGAGCTTCTGGAGCAGTGTTGGAGCGGGAGCTGCTTCCAAGCGACAATGGGTTTGTTGGCATAGCTTTATGTGCTGTTGTTTCATTTGAGAACTACAAAGCCCAAAACAACAACTTCATGGTGAAGTGCTTATGTGAGTTCAACAATGTTGACACGTCTTCTACCTTCTTCAGTTTCCATATAGGGGATTTATCCGAGGAGAAAGAGGACCAACGCACGATTAAGTCTACTCACGTTTTCATTGGCTTCACCAGCTGGTTGAATATCAACCATTGTAAAGAACTAGACCTTAGGAGAAGGTGTGGTCCTGCTAAAGCTTGTATTTCGTTTCTGGTCACAGATGGTACTCGTGAGGTTGCAAAATGCAAGGTACTGAAGTGCGGTTTTAGTTTGGTGTGTGAATCTGGCAATGGGTCTTGGGATGCAAACGCTGATGCAAGCGACGATGCAAGTTCAGAGGTTACTGAATCTGATTCTTGTTTTCAGGATGCAATCGATGGTCCAATAGATAGTGAATCTGATAATGATAATTCTTCAGATAAGAAGGCAGGAGAAGTTAGACAAGGCGAAAGTAGATTATGGGGTTTCTTGAGAAGAGGATGGCTTATTACTTTGTCCCTGTTTGTTTCTTCATCCACTTGCATCCCCATTTAGCACCTAAATTCAACATCCATACATTGAAGTTGTTTGTTTGTGATTTTGGAAGAAAACTTGAATGCAAATCTTGTATTAGAATGATTAATATTGGGATGTTTTGAAACTAAAAATATTTGTGGAAACTTGATATATCATGGTTTTTATGGGTCTTTAACCATAGTCTTGGTGTAGAGTTTTTAATGTATGTTTCGAGTATTTTATGCGTCGTTGTAGGTTCATGTACATTTTTGACAATACTGGAGATTCTGAAACATTTTGGCGTATGAGAAAAATTGCAACTGGAAACATTAAGTTGGACAGATTGCACAATCTTTAGGACAAGGCTCTGAGACAACAACTCTTGTCACACTATATTATTCATTCTCATTATTCGGTCGGTTGCTTTCTGCAACACTAGATTATATCAGAGTGTAAGTCTCTTTTGCACTCCTATGTTTCTGGCATCTTGAGAAAATTATGATCTTATCGAATTGTGAACTGTGAAGGAAGTTTTATTTTGCTAGAACCGGGTGGCTAGTTGTTGCTCTTTTTCCAACCACAATCGCTCTTTTCTTGCTGACATCATCAGGAAGTTTGTCAGCGTTACAAGCAGGAACAGCTCTTATCGGTCTAACCATGAGTTAGGTGATGCTTCCATGCAATGTAGTTATGAACTTGTTATTCATCCTTTTTCTTTTTTCTTGAACAGTATTTTTTTTTATTGATCTTTTTGTTCTCGACTTATTTCACTCAGCAAACTAATGGGTCTCCTTATATAGTAGTAAGAGGTCGGTTGATAGAGAGATATTTCCAAAGGAAATAATAATTTATTTCACAATGGATAATCTTTAGCACCATCTTGATTATCCATTTTATATTATGGACTACCTCTTTAAAAATGATCTTTTTTTTTTCTCAACCCATTAGATTATACTAAAGCATCCCAAAGTTAAGTTATTACAACAGGCTTAGCAAGACCAGCGCTTACCAAAAGATCCGCCTGAGAATTTTCGATTTTAGGAATAAAAGAAAAAGATAGATGACAGAAGAGAGTGGCAAGGTTCCTGATGTCCAGGAGAATACCCGCGACCTCATTCATGTCCTGCCCTTCCCGAAGAGCTGAGATAAGGACTTGACAGTCCAAAAATACATGGAGGCGCTGCACCTCCAGAGAAATAGCTTTCCTGAGCGCTTCCTTTATAGCTAAAGCTTCAGCAACTAAGGCCGAGGAAACAAACGGTCGATTGGCTGATCCTCTGCATATTACTTCTCCATCTTCATTCTTTATGATCCACCCCATGCCTCCAAATTTCGACTCTTCCCTCCACGCTCCATCACACCAACACAACCACACATTCCGACATGTAGGTCTGCCACTTTTGGGTGGCCTTTGCGGTTGCAGTGGTTTCTTCCTTGGCGCATTAGCCTCTTCCCACGCTCGAGCTTCAATCACAGCCTTTGAGATAACTTCCTCCACCCCATAAATTTTCCTTTCAAACACTAGCTTGTTTCGCGCCGTCCACAGGTTCCAAAGCAGCCACGGGATGAGAGGTGACACCACCACCGCCACCGGGGGCAGAGAAATCCTGTTGACAGTTCCCATTATACTTGAAACTAGGATAAGACGTGCGCCTTGCGCAGGGTGAATATATGTAATTAAAATATAAAATTTTAATATTCACAAATTTAAAATTTACATATGATTGTTTTTGTATGTATTTGAAATTTTAGAATTTTGGAATTTTTATATAATTATCTATACGTATGATCAAAAACAATTTTAATTAGAAATGTAAATCAAATCTTAGAATTTAATAGATATGATTTCATATATCTTTTTACTTATCAGTGTTCGAGTGATGGAAAATAAATGGAGTGTCACTGGGCTTGATTGGTAGAGTATAGCAAGTTCCCTAATGTTTTTAAAGAAGCAATTGGTAAAATATTTGCAATTAAAATATATAAAGTTTCTAAACTAATTTAATATAATTTATTTATTTGTCTAATAATATTAGAAAATTATATTTTTAAAAAATTATATTTT